GCAGAGTTCGGAAAGTTCCCGCCGCAAAATGGCGAGTAAACTGATCTTGCTGAATGAAATCAGTGGTGTGTGCCTTTAAATCACAAGACCTTTTAGAAAAACAAAAAAAAACAGCAACTTAAGCTCTGCTGTACTGCCATTTTCCTGCATCTTCTACAGGCTCTTTGCCTGCCGGCAAACGCCTGTTTGGGCTTTTTCATGTTGTTCTGCGACGCTCTGGAGAGGTAGCTGCGCTGTTGGACACAGTTGCAACATCCCTCTAATGTCACCAGCACCTCCAAGGCTACAACTTCCTCCCTGTCGATCCCATTTAAAAGTGTGTCAGTCAAAAGCGTCAACTAGATCTTACATTCTCGGCTGGAATCCCCAACGGGCGATAACGCTGTTACCTTGAGGCAAACCGCTCTGCTTTAATTGCTCCACTAAGAACCTATAATAGAGTTCTGAAACTTTGTTGCTAAGACACAAACCTCCATATGGTGAGTACGTATGTTGAAATAGATGAGAGGAGACTGATAAATACCTCTAACCTAACCCTGGATTTCCCAGAGTGTGGAACATCTGTCAGCATAGCTTGATAGCACTGCTTGTGTTCCTCCAAAATATTGCATCTATTTATATAGAGAACAGAATTCTTCGCCCATAACAGCCACTGCTATCTAAATAAAGCTCACAGCAACATGAGATTCCATGTCATATAATTACAGCCCTGTAAACAGTCTACTGCTTGACTAAAAGATTTTTGTGTTGCTTTCACGTTAGGCTCATGTTGAAAAGGCTATTCAGTGTCTAATAGATAGTTCCTTATCAGCACTAACCTCCTGTTGAGAAAATGAGAGATAATAATGGGGAAAACCTTTCCAAGCTGTCTGTGACGTCACTGCTGCGGCAATCCCACTCTCCCACTCGCATGATCACTTCTTTCTCTATGCATTTTCCTCTGCATTCCCCTTTTTTTGCTCACATCTTCCGTCCGTCTTTTCTCTCCCCCCACCTTCTCCCATCTTTCGTCTCTAAATCACCATTTAACATGGCACTCTCCCTCACTCCGAGTCTTTCCCCTGTGCTGCAGATTAGACCCGGGAGCACAAGTCATTGTGATGCATTGCGCGTACAACACCACAGAGGAAGAACTGGTTATTTAATCTGCCTTAATAGGGTGGTACTGACTCTGTGTAGACATAATAGTCACAGTTATCAAGTGCTACAAATTTCACTTCGGGCCAGCAAACAGGCATGAAATACTGATAAAGGAGCTTGACAGGAGGGGACGATACGAGAAGGATTTGACTTTAAAATGCAAGGTCATCATCATCATCATCACCGAAACAACCTATCCTTCATTAACAGCTCCAAAACGATCAATTTTGTCATACATTTACATTATCACATCATCCTCTTTATTACTTATAATTACTCCATTATCACCATCATTTCCACCACTACCATTATGACATTTCCTATTATCACCATCAGCGTTTTTATCAGGCCAGCTACTGCCACAACCCCTTCTCATTTTGAAAGCACTGCATATGGTGACACTGATGAATGCTGACGTCTTTATTGTGACAACCCCTACAGATGCCTAGTGACCTTATGTGTCTGGCCAGCAGGCATATGGCCTCATAGCGGGGATATTGAATGATAAAGGGAAGTGGCTGCAGAGCTCTTCATTTCTAATTGTGAAGCACTCAGTAGTTCATAGACTCGGTGTTGATGAAATGTTTAGGTACCTGCAGAATTGAATCACGGAATAAATGGCTTACAAGCCCAGTTTTAGCCATTATGTATCGAGTGTTATTGAAAAAGTGCAGGATTCATTTCATTTCATTTCACAACAAATACACCTGGGGTATCACGGTTTAACAGTGTTATGCCCCATGGAGATGTAAAGCTATATACAAATCAGCTTCATTAATTTGTTACCATTGTGGTTATTAGGATAATCAATCAAAAGGGATATCATTAAAGAAATAGTTTGACAGTTTGGGGAAAGAGCTCATTTGCTTTCCTGCCTAGAGTTACAATAGGTGAGGAGATTGATACCAGTCTCTAAATTTTAAATTAGAGGTAGCCCTGTTTACACCAAAATAAAGAAATAATATAATAATAAACACAGTATAACATCCCACAAGTCTTGTTGTTCAAAACATGGAATAACTTCCAACTTAAAAAAAACAAACCCCCAGGATCAGAGTCCTGGTCAGAGCCACTGTAAATCACCTGGCCATCCGTTGATCTCGGAGGCTGTGAACCTGGTTCCGTTGCGTGCTTGCCCGGCTCCGGTTCTCATCCTCATTCTCCTATGCTAGCTCTTATATGCTACTAGTGTAAACAAACCTCCACCTATCCTACGAGCTCCCAGTCCAGGTAGCCTGCTAACAGGACTGCTAAGTAGCTAATGGCAGCTAACACTGTTAGTAAGCAATTTAAAGTTCTGTGTTGCCAACTGGAGCTGGAGCCGATGAACACCTGTGACTACTACATTTGACCCTGGTATAAATGCGGATTGTACCCATTCCCACAAAAAGAAGACAAAAGCCAGATGCTAATAGGTGTTGGTTCATGGTTTTTGTCCAGTGTAAAAGGAGCTTAGAGACTGGAACTGGGGGGAAAAACAGCTAGCCTAGCTCTCCCCAAAAGAAAATAAATCTGCTGACTCACACCTCTAAACCTGACGAACATGTTATCTTATTTATTTAATTAATACAAACCAAAATGTAAAGACAACAAAGAGTCACAATACATGGCTCAGAAATAGTCCAAAAACCCAGCTGTAAAACCACAAATGGTCACTTTTTACATGTTAGTTCTTCACAGATAAAACAAACAACATATAGTCTGTTAAAGAAAATTTGGCATTTTGGGAATCACATATTCGCTTTATTACTGTGAGTTAGATCTTGAGATCGATATGCTTACCCCCAATAGCCCCGTTGGACCGAAAGTCCACACTAGTATCACCAATCTATGTGTACGTATATATAAATAACCCAAACCATTATCTTATTGAAGTTTGTTATTATTACCATGACATGCCATTTACTGCACTTCCAAATACAAGATAGATAAGAGATAAGATATTAAGGATGAAAAACTGCAGGGATAGTGTGTATTTTAAGAAAAACTGATTTTCGTAGCAGTGGTGTTTTGTTCGCCAAATAACAGGCAGTGGGACGATTGGGCTTGCGGTCCAATGGGACATTTTTCAGGGGTTTTCTGAATAATGGGGTGTCCCTATAAGAGGCTACAGCCAGCAGACAGCTAATTTATCTTAGCTCGAAGACTAGGAACAAAGCAAAAACAACTAGTCTGGCTGTGTCCAAAGGTACAAAAAAAAAGATCCACCTAACCAGCAACACAAGCTCACTAATTAACATGTTCTCGTTGCATAGGCAAACAACAAAAATGCAAAGAAACGCAAGAAAGTCACAGCGTCCAGACGAGGTAGAGTCCAGCAAGTAATTAACCTCCATGAAACCACAACTTGATGAAACAAACATGAAACAAATGAGATATAACATGTTCACTAGTAAAAATGTAAGGGCTTTGGTACAGGTAGATTTCTTTAGTGACCACTGTGTAGGCTTTAGTGGCAACAAGCAGTATAGTTCCAGATTGCAATAACCTTGCATCACTCTCCTCTGACAAGCACAAAGCAGAGAGCACAGTGGCCGTGAAATGCATGAAAAACACAAGCCACCCTATCTGTTTGGTTTGCCCGTTCTGGGTTACTGTAGATGGGCTACTGATTCTGGACAGACAAAGCCAGGCTAGCTCTTTCCCTCTGCTTCCAGCCTCGCTCTCATGCTAAGTTAAGCTAACAATCTCCTCGACGTTGCTTCCCATCAAGCGTACAGGCATCAACATGGTATCACTCTTCTAATCTAATTCTTGGCAAGAAAGAAAATAAGTGCATTTTCTTAAATGTCAATAGGCCATATTCTTTAATCATGTTATCATTATTGTTAAAAATCATGCTCTTGATGTACAGTCAACATACAACCCAGATATATGGTACATTAATGTGGTTCTAACCGCTCGTCATTATGTGCACACACAGTGATATATGAGGTAGAATGAGGATTTGGAATCACATGTAATTTATTGTACCCAGAAACAACATATAATGATGTATCTGATCATTACTGCTGACAGCTCAGTCTCTTTATGCTTTGCCATGACAATCAAATACTAGTCCCGTACTTCATTACTTATTCAAATCCTCAGTCTTTCCACAGAGCTGAAACCTGCCGAAGCTACTGAAGACAGAGCAGTATGCCTGATGATGGCCTCATGTGCCTTAAACGTCAAGTCTCATTGCGGAGGGGAATTAGCGCTGGGTCTCGCTGTGTTGAGAAAGACTCTTCCTTATCAGGAGATGATGAAAGCATTAGGTATTTAACAGGACAGGGACCCTGCTGAGCAGAGTTAAACTTTAATCCTTTCTTCCAGTGGTTTATAAATTATACAAATTGCAGTGAATTGACAAACAAGCTGCTGTTTACCCTGATTGGGCTCAGACTAAATTCCCATTTACCCTTGAGATCAAAAAAAGTTGAAGTTCATTCAGTAGAATTAACATAGTATGTCAAAATGATGCAAAATATAAGTAATGCAAAACTTGTGTGCTGTAAATCTCCTTCTGTGATTTGCCTGTCACTATATAAGATAATGCTCTTTTCTCTGAATTTACAGAATGCATTCGAATTTTTAAGTTGCTGCAGCCTTCTCTAGAATACAGTATCCTACCTGTAGACCATGCTGGCAGTGGGTTGGATGGATGCTTGAAACAAATGGCTGTGTACATGAAGAAGCTCCTCCAAACTCTGCTGCTCTCGAGGTCTGCTGGCTTCAAAGCTTCCTGGAAGGCAGCTGGTGGGGCTTGAGGGCTGAACCCTGGTTCCTGCCCCCTGCCTCTGCTGGATGGAACTGGGGCAGCGATCCAGCCTCGGCCTCTGTCTGGACACGGGAATATCACTGCAGGCTGCCTTGAGATACATGTTTGGATCAACCGTGTCTCCCACAGGCTGATGGGACACTTTCCTTTGTTAGCAAATCCTTTTCAATATATTTAGTCATCCTGGGGAGAGAATCCGGCCTAAAAACATCTCCATGTAAGTACAATGCAATGCTGGTCATGCGGGACCGCAGAGGATATCCGTATTTGTTTGCTGAAGAGTTCTTGTCATGCCCAGGGCCAAGAGAGTGATTTAAAGTAATACCTCGACACAATATCTATAGATATATCAAAGTTGAACAAAGCCAAGACAGCCAGACATCCACAGATGTACACACAAAACAAAATTAACATACTAACATCAAAGCAAAACAGAGAGGGGGGCAGAAAAATCTCTGAGGGCCATACCTGTGATGTCAACTTTATTCTTAGATGATTGACAAATTAAAAGACAAAGGCAGCTTTTGTTTGAGCTCCCGGTGGCTCCAGTGAGAAAAGCCTGCTTGTCTGTGAGGCAAGCCGAACAAAGCCAGAGGGATATTTCTGTCTACTTGTCAGAAATATCTCCTTGATACATCTGTTGTGTGTACAGCCGATTCAAGTTGCAGCTGAGAACAAAATTTGATTCCACCTAGTCTTCTCTGGTAATGGTTCCTTAAAGTAAATGATTAAACAATGAATCTTTGTATTCATTCATTGTGAACTGATACCAGATTCCTCCTTGGCTCATGTCACAGATTGAGTCGACACATTTTGTGTAATATAACTGCAACCTCCGGCCTTAGTGGCTGCTTTTTAGAAAAAGCTATACACAAGACTTTAGGGCCATATCACAAGTTATTGTTACTGAATTATGTTTTCATTCTCCAAAAAGGCCTCATAGATCTGCAAGTTTTGGCCTTTCAACACGGTAAACTCAAGGCTTTCTATGATAACATGTTTCTATTTTATCAGAGAGAAAGATTTCTTAGTGATTATGTCGCATATTGCTGTCACATATGACCAAAGGCCCTGTTACTGAAATGTATTTGCCTTTCTCGGAGCTCTTTGTGCTCCTTGTTTAAAATTTATTCTTATTACTAATAATACATATTTTAAACTGCTTTGACAAACAGTAAAAGATTGTATATTTTATTCGCTCCACATCAGGCTACTTATTGTTTGGTTGTCTGCACAATTTGGGGGCAAGGGCTTGCTAGAAGTAATTTAGAGAGGTAAAAAAAAAAAATCCAGTGACCCTAATGTAATACATTAGTGGAAAGAGCATGTCCAATCAGTATATGTGAAGTATGGGTACCTTCTTCTCTCTCAGTCCGTTGTACCTGCCTGCCCTCTTGTGAACAGAGAGGATACAGCAGCCAGATCCAAGGAAAAATTCAGTTTTACATTCTCACAGTATCAAGCCTGAAGTCTTTGTACATTTTGTGCTTTGCTCATGCAGAAAAGGAACACACAGCTTGGCAGAAGAAGCCATGAAGATGGAAGTGGACGCACACACGTTGACACACACACAAACACCAACCAACAACAACGCACATCGTTCATTCACAGGTCTAAGTGTATGAGTATATGGAGGTAAGATGTTGGATGAATGTGTGGGAGCTGAGAGCACCTCTGTGTGTCTGCTGTGTCCTCCCACTCAGTGTGCAATGTGAGAGGCAGACGCAGAGCATTTAGTCTATTTCAGTCCCTGGATATGTGAGGTCTTTTCTTCACTGTTCCCTCCAAGACCAGAGTGACTCATCCACACTTGTACACAATCTGACTCCTGCAGGCAGCAAGGCAACGCTGCTGGAGAAATCAGACCCTCAAAGCGGAAGCCACTGTGGTCAATCACATGCAGATATCTCAACGTACTCTCAAAGATCGGCATTATTGCTGTTGAGTCTTGGTTTGCAGTAAACATTTATTTATGTAATATATTTTGTGCTCTCTAATTTAGCCAATTGTTTTGCTTTATGTTGTTCTTTTTTACATCATTAAATTAAAGGCGTATTAGATGTAAAGGCAACATAAATAATATCCTCTTTATGTTTATGCTTTTTTAAGGGAGAAAAACCTAGACCAAGTTAACAAATATAAATGTAGCCCTGGCTAAAATACTTTTAGACTTCAAGATGAAGATAATTCATGTAGTCATCAGAAAGTAAACAGTTTAAGAAAGAGAGGTTTAACATGTTTAAATATGGTTAAAAACATGGATATAAATATTGTTTAAAATGTAAATGGAAGGTTAAAATGTGTTAAAATATAAGATGTATAATCTTTACAGTTCAGAGGTCAAAGGATGGAGTTCATTTTAATTAGCATAGTTTGTTTTATATGTATCTGTATTGTGTATTCAGCCTTACAGCCTAACTTGGTTCATGCCTGATATCCAAGTCTTTGTGTTCTTTATTGTAATTCGACTGTCCTGAATTAAACAGCCAACCAAATTATATTCTCAGGTAGAAGGGTGGGGTTGGTGTTTGTGGAGAAATGCAGAAGCTGTCTATCACCGTTGAGTGAACTGTGAATTGTACGAGAGCAATAATGTTCATAACTTCATGGTTGACGACCAGTTTATCCTAAGGGTTTGAACTTTTGTCATCAACAACAGGTAAAATATGAGTTTGTGAACTTTTTCCCGTACTGTGACTTATTGTTACAGTGTAAAAAACGAGATTAGCGATTAGCTTTGCTTTCATATTGTTAGCTTTGCCATGAAACAGCATGTGGACTTGTTGCTTAGCGGTTTATCTGATTCAGGAGACGGACATTTGTGACTGTAAGTGAGGAGTGGGAAAGCTCTTTTGGACCACTGTGTTTTCCTCCTGCTTGCTGTTTCTTCTTTGCTCTGCGGGGTTTCCAGCAGCGCGCCTTTGCTCATCTACCCCCTGACCATTCCCGGGTTTTTTTGAGTACTGATACACTTGCACGTGCCTTTTTATTTTGATTGCTTGTTTGAACAAGTGAAGCGGCCATTACAGTTTTTAGGCCTCAACGCTCCCAAGCCACGATTCAGGCCTGCAACTGTTTGGTTTACATTTTGGTTTATGTTGCAACTTGAGTGTGTGTGTATGTGTGTGGGAGTGTGGACCCACAATATGAAGTTAAAGTTTACATGTATGTACATGTAAACATGAGCACATTTCCCCCATTTTAGCCTCACTCCACTGGCTGCCAATTCAATTTAGGATCCATTTTAAAATTCTTTTATTTGCTTTTAAATCCCTAAATGGTCTTGCCCCGCCCTACCTATCTGAGCTTCTACACCCCTATATACCCGTCCGCCCCCTCAGGTCAGATGATCAGCTGCTCCTGAGTGTGCCTAAAACTAAGCGGAAGCTCAGAGGGGACCGTGCCTTTGCTGTGTCTGCTCCTAAATTATGGAATGATCTGCCTCTGCACATTAAACAGGCCTCTTCTCTGTCTGTTTTTAAAACCGGTCTTAAAACCCATCTCTTCTCTGTGGCCTTTGACACCTAGTAAGATGTCGACTTTATTTACTTGATTTATTTTTTGTATTTGTTATTTTTACTTTTTGATTGCTTGTTATTGCATGGTTATTATTTTTATTTATGTCTTTTCATTTTATTGTTGTATTATATGTTATTTTGCGCCTCATGTGAGCTGTTATGTCTTTTATTTATGATGTCTTATTTATTCTCCTGTACAGCACTTTGGTCAACTTTGGTTGTTTTAAAGTGCTTAACAAATAAAGTTGGATTGGATTGGATTGGATGTTAAAGATGCTATGCACTTAAGATATTAGAGTAGATTAAAGGGTTAAAGTCTTTAAGGTATTAGGAGGATACTGTTTTGTGTTTTTTAATATGGGGTATTATTTGTGTTGACATATTTTCATGATTTACCTGAAGTATTATTTTGTTTAATAATAAATGACTAAATGTTGACATATTGCATTTAAAGCACATGTGTTGTGTCGTATAATATCCTAAATAATACATATTTTGGGTTAATGCTTTTTGAGTGAATACAGGTTATTTGGTATTTTAGTTGAAGAGTTAAAAGGGAAATAAGGTCATAAGAGTTATATTATTTTGTAGGTACAGGTAATAGATTACTTAAACTTAAACCGTACCCAGGACCCCGCCCAGAGTACTATTACACGCAGCAGATAAATATAATCGACATAGCTACATGGGACGGGTGTTACATAAAAATTAAAAAATAAAACGTTTTTCACCTTTAGGTCCTCTATTTGGAAGAATATTTCCTTCTTCGTCTGATATATAAAGCAGAGAGTGGAGAGCTGATTAAGACAAACAGAAGCAACCTAAAGATGAAGACCTCAGTGGCTGTGTTGACCTTATCCCTCCTCTGCCTTTGTGTGGCTGAGGTCCGAGGTAAGAAACATTTCTTCTGTTTTTGCGTGTGTATTTTTTTCAATGTTTTCAGGGAGTTTCAGTTTTAAATACCATTATAAAACCCTTCTATTTTCATGTAACCTCTCAAGGTGTCCAGGTGGCATTTAAAGCAGCTCAGGGCATTGTTGGATATATTGGACCATATAACACTGAGATCACACTAGCCTACAAGACAGTCCTCTCAAACACAGGCACATACAACCCTGCAACAGGTAAACTGGATGAAACCTCTCAAGGTGTCCAGGTGGCATTTGGAGTAAACTGGATGAAATACTTTTATTTTAACACTGGCAGTTGTGAACTTTCATACATTTAGCACTGTCGAGTTTCACTGTAGCAAACATGTTCCTGCATCATGTCTTATCTTTTTTGTGTCCTCGTATATTTTGTTTGTTTTATTAACTTGTTTTTCTGTTCAAGTTTATCTTAGAGCTATCATAAAGCACCGCCGCTGAAGTTATAAAATAATTAATGGTCAAGTTCAGAGAACAAAGGTTCATTTTGTTTATCAAGACCAATAACATAATGTATGCGGAAGAAGAAATATAATACACCTCCATAAATGTTAAACAATGTTAAACCAAATATGAACACAATCTTACTCCTCAGACATTACAAATATAAAACATAACCGAGGCCTCTGAGGCAGAGACTCCGTCTTTAACACAACAAACATTAAGAACCCTCTTACGCTGTTGGTCGACATTTAACACCAACTGAGCTAGATGCATGCAGCAAAGGGCTGCAGGTTGGACTCAAGCCCTGGCTGCTGCGTATATGGGTCGCCAGCTCTACTGACTGAGCTAACCGGGTGCCCCAGGATTAATGCATTTTTTTAAAATGTATACTCATAGTCATAGACAATGACCTATGATCCCCAGAAGAGCAAAGGGCGTAAGTTAAGTAAGCCAAGGATCAATGAATTGTTAATATAAGTCTTTTTATGGGAATTGTTGACATTAAGACAGATTTAGAAATATCCAGCCAGCCTTATCTTTTAAGTAAAGAAGATAGACAATTGTAAATAATTACCAGGGATTTTGTTGACAAAGGGTATAATTAAAGAAACCTTTGGCCAGTTATAAAACCATCATATCCCTGATACAAATGTTTTCAAACAGATCAAAAGATATCAGCCTTTTGTTTTTTCAATTCAAGGGTATTTCCTTCTTCATCTGGTATATAAAGCAGAGATGGAGAGCTGATTAAGACAAACAGAAAAAACGAGAGATGAAGACCTCAGTGGCTGTGTTGACTTTATCCCTCCTCTGCCTTTGTGTGGCCGAGGTCCGAGGTAAGAAACACAACTATGCTAGTTTTTTTTTCTTCTGTTTTTGCGTGTGTATCTTTTTCAATGTTTTCAGGGAGTTTCAGTTTTAAATACCATTATAAAACCCTTCTATTTTCATGTAACCTCTCAAGGTGTCCAGGTGGCATTTGGAGCAGCTCTGGGCAGAGTTGGACATATTGGACCATATAACACTGAGATCACACTGGCCTACAAGACAGTCCTCTCAAACACAGGCACATACAACCCTGCAACAGGTAAACTTAAACTGATATGTCTTCATAGATATATTGATCCATCTGTATAAAATGGAAATCACAACAACTACTGTACTTAAAGAGGTATGATACAATTCTCTCATCATCCGTAGGTATTTTTACCGCTCCGGTCAGAGGATACTACTACTTCAGCTTCTCCGGCCATAATGTTTCAAATAGACCAATGGGGCTGCGACTGATGAAGAATGGAGTGCAGATTGTGACTGTGTACAACCATGTTGCTGGAAATCGCTATGAGACAGCAACCAATGGCATGGTTGTACATCTTAATGTGGGTGACCACGTGTACATGAGACTCAGAGCAAACACCTGGATTTTTGATAATGACAATAACCACAGCACCTTTGCTGGCTTTTTGTTATCCGCTCGTTAAGTGGATCAAAGATTAAATTAGCAAGAAACAGACAGTTTTAAAAACTAGAAATGGAAAGTGGTTATGTTACAATAAACTAATCAAATAATCAATAGGACACTCTTTTTCAGGATGACAATAACTTTTTGTTCTGCGTGTTTGTTTTTTTGACCACAATATATATAGATAGCTGTTACGTTGGCTTATAAGGTTGCTGTGTACCTGATGAGATTAAGTCCAACATTCCATTAATTTTTAGTTTAAGGGTTTCCAACAACCAGAGGGAAAAATGTCTGGATCTATAGCAGCTAGATCTTTGACTGTGGTCATCAGCCGGTCTGTAATTTTCTCTGTTAGCTGTTGGTGCTGGACAGATAGTGTAGAGTGGATTAAAACACTTTATCCTATAATTGTTGACGATAGCAGCTCAAGAAATCTGAATCAATCCCTGTCATGATTTTGAAAATTTAAACGTGTTTATTCATTGATATTATCTTTGTCTTTATAATGTTATTTATATCAATAAAGCTCCAAGAACCGATGGAATTTTAATCAAACTTTTCAAAATCAAAATTAAAAAAAAAAAAACTTGCACACAAGTGGCACAGGTGGTTATTTTCAACTGGATGAAATACTTTTATTTTAACACTGGCAGTTGTGAACTTTCATACATTTAGCACTGTCGAGTTTCACTGTAGCAAACATGTTCCTGCATCATGTCTCATCTTTTTTGTGTCCTCGTATATTTTGTTTGTTTTATTAACTTGTTTTTCTGTTCGACCTAATCTCAGAGCTACCATAAAGCACCACAACTAAAGTTATAAAAGTTCAGAAAACAATGGGTAATTTTATTTAACAAGACCAATAATATAATGAACGCGGAAGAAGAAATATAATACACCTCCAAATGTCAAACAATGTTAAACCAAATATGAACACAATCTTACACCTCAGACATTACAGATACAAAACATAACTGAGGCCTCTGAGGCAGGGACTCCGTCTTTAACACAACAAACATTAAGAACCCTCTTACGCTGTTGGTCGACATTTAACACAAACTGAGCTAGATGAAACACTTTGTCTGTAAACCGGTACTGAAGCATACATTCATCAGATATAGAAACTGATTCAGGACATTCTGCAGACATTTTGAGGAAACATCTATATCTGATAAGATTGAACAATAGAACAAAAAGTGCATTTCATTTCGACCTCTCACAGATCACACGTGACACGCTCCAAACTGTTCCGGTTGCATCAGGTGAAATCAGGTTTTGGCTGCAAAGAGGGTTAAGTATCTGCACGGCTGATGAGGAAATGAGATGCAGGTGAGGAGGTGAGCAGGGATGGCCAACTGAGGAACAGGTGTATAAATGGGTGGGGCAGTCAGGTGGTGTGAGGAGGAGGAAATGTCTGAAGGCATCTGGTGGACAGATGGAAAATGGCAATGAAAGGGCCTGATGAAGCAGGGAAGTGGTAGAGGTGGGACAGAGAGAAATACTGCGATTCCGCCTTGAAAAAACGCAGAAGAACTGGCATTTCCTAATCATTTAAATGTGCTACAATCGAGACATAATTGAAGTAAACAACTGAGAAAGTCTGCTTTATCATTGTGAACCCGACTATGTTGCCTAACATTAAAACATTTCTGTTCTCTTATTTCCCTGTCTGTTCTCCTGCACATTCAAGAGGAGAAGGATTTTTTCACAGAGTCAGGCCAGCTGTTTCCCTCCTGTTTCTAACATTTGTGGTTAACCATCTGCTGGCTATAGGCTTATATTCATCAAGTGGTATCAACATCTGCATTTAACTCTCTGCAAGTAAGCGTTAAAGTAACGACATGAGAGCGGTGTAAATCTTAGGATCTAACTTCCAAAAGTTTTGCAATTTCAAAAATTCCATATGTTTACCAGCAAAAGTCCAGCTATGAGTAAGCTATGAGCAGCTGTAATGGTGTGACGTCTCAAGTGTTTCTTGTTCGTCACTGTACCTTCTTCCTCTCTCCTCTGCAATCACAGACTCTGTTATTGCAAAACCCTACATACAAGACACAAGATGGAAGATCACTTTCTAACTTCCACTTTTTCTCACATGGTAAACCCATTCTTGCAGCTGGGGTCAGAGCTTGTGTGTTGTCAGCTGTTGCACTGGTCTTGAGTTCCAGTGGTTCAGAGGTTTAACAATAATAAATGCATGAAAAGCCCTTCAACAGTTGGGAGGTGTTTTAGAAAGACGTGGCAGAATTTTTAGGGAAAATTAGATGATTTCTTAGAATGCCACCATTTGTTTCTCTGGGTCTCTAACAGCCAGCCATGTCAACTGCTGTAAATTAGTGTCATATGATCCAGCTGGCTTCTTTGCTCAAATCATATCACGTGGAGCCATTGCATGCACAAGAGCCACACAAGTGAAATCTTTTCATCATTTTCCCTCCCTGCCGCCCCCCGCCTTCATTTTCTATCAAACGGTTCATTCTTACTTTGATATTTTTTGTGTGCGAGATTTGGCTCAAGTGGAAAAGAGAAAAGGCCTTACTTCTCGGAGCATTACCCAACTGGGGTCATGTCCTGTGTCATGGGCAACTGAGGGAGGACAGGTTGTGACAATGCAAATCATTTATTTCTAAATGGTTAAGAGGATCTGTGTGTCTGTTTCAACATTTCACAGATCTGAGGTGAAGTTACCGCAACACAGGAAGCACTCTATCATCCACCCTTCCTTTCCTCCATACACCAAACGAAGCCCAACATATCAGTAAGCTTAGGTCAATAGATTTGCATGCAACAAAATGCTAAAGCAGGTTGTAGTCATAGAAGCTTTAGACTGAACCACTTAAATGTTGCAGACATACACTGAGTTGAAAATCGCTTTTTATCTTATATGTATTGCACATGTTGCCATGCAGGTTGTGAAATGCAGAATGATCAGTAGGGCTTGTGTAATATTGCAGCAAGCTGAACATGGTTTCAGATTATAGGCAAACCTCCAGCTCCAGAGATGTAATGGATGTATTTCAACGCGCCACTACTGTGATGTCTGTAGATGTAGAGAAAAACATCCTTACTATATATGTATATGTGAGGATTAATGGATTCATTCAGCATGGTGACGCACCTGACAGGTCATATGACTAAAGCCCTGCAGGCATGGAACCAATATGAAATACATTACATTACATAGATTATGTAATACCACTATTAGCCTGTTTTTTTCTTGAATTCAGTCCTGAAAGCAGTCAATAATTCTTCTTCAGGATCTTCTTTGGTATCTGTGTTTAAAGCTCTTATTAAATTGTTTATACTGATCAACGTGTATGTAGCATTTTACAGTTGTAGCTGGTTAAGGAGGAGTTCATTTTAACTACTTTATATAAAGTTAGGTAGTTTTAATGACAAGAGGCCCCTGGACACTACCTTTTTTTTTTATAGGGTTACTGGCAAAACAGGTTGAGAATCACAGACCTGATATTCAACAATACACTGTGTTTTGAAAGATGTTTTAATGTCTTTTTTTAATGTAAAATCTCTCAATCAGAATAAACATTTACTCCAGCTGTCAAATAAATGTACTAGAGTACAATATTAATGATATTAATTCATCAATATATCCTTTGAAACATACTGGTGTTGAAGTTAAGTAGCATAAAATAAAAATACTCAAGTAAAGTACAAGATACTCAGAACTGTACTTTCCAGTGGTAGGCCTGCTGTTGCTCATTCAGTTATGTAGGAGCACAGCAAACACATGTAACCACAAGGATAAAAAATCAGTAGTTAAAGTAATGAAATCAGTATTCGAGTTGTGAAGTACTGCGAAGTGCTTTAGAGTTTCTATCATAGATTACTATGCACTGACAGCTACTGCAGAGAAACCAGACTTTGCTGGGCTCATTGAAGCGACCTTTTCTTTACATTGAACCTGAACAGCGTGAGCATGCCCCTTAGATTGAATTTGGTAATCTGACCTTGAATCTCTGTGGTTAGGGGGGGGGTACTCATTGGCCAGTCTGAGGAGTGGCCTACCAAATAGCAGTCTACAGTATGTACGGCTGATTGAACTTGGCTGCAGACACAAAAAGCACTCTCTGTCCTCCACTCCGCAGCCTAGAAAACATGCGGCGGGAAGAAGGGAAACGGCTCTCCCCAGCTAAACACTCTTACTGGAAACTCTACCCACTACCCAAACAACTGGACTGAGAAGTAATTTTTTTTTTTATTAATGTGGGGCACGATGACCATGATCACTTACTTATTAATAAGACTCACTAGGTATTGAAGGCTACTCATCCGCATAAGAACATTTAAAAAGATTTAAACAAGATATGGCACGTATTCCCGCAGGATATCTGACTACCAAGAAATGCCACAGCTTGTCTGACACAGTGGAAGGACCGCAAACAATCATTTTCATTGTCAATTGATCTGTTTTTTGTATTTACTGATTAGTGTATAAATTGACCGAAATGGATAAGAAATATGCATCACAAGCGCTCAGAGCCCGAAGCGACGTTTTTAAATTACTTGTTTTGTGTGACCAAGGATGCAAAATATCCCAAGATATTCAATTTGTAAAGCTATAAAACATAGAAAAAGCAGCAAATCATCACATTGGTGAAGCTGGAACTACAAAATGTTTGGAGTTTTTCCTTCATATATTAGTTGAACTACTATCAGAATAAACAGACTACTTGTTTCCGTGCTAAGATAGCTTACAGGGAAGATCAAATTCAAAAGTACTCTTAAAAGTGTAGAGACTTTATGTTATCAGCAGAGACAAGCACAGCACACAGCGTTACGTAAAATGCGTTTTGTATTACAAGTCTTTGACAGGTGGATGGCAGAAGATTTGTCCAAAGGGAGAATTACAATTACGGTAAGTCAAAAGATGTCACATTTTTTAGAAAAGAAAACAAAAAAAAAAATCTAGATAATACAGACATGGCTTGCCATTCACTGAACCAAATAAATGCTAGTAGGTTAAAGTTACTCTGTTGTTCTTGTTGGGACTAGTACCTCGAGAAACGGCCTGAATCTGACCCTAAAACAGCAGGTCTGTTACAAGCTTAGCTTCCTGACAATAAGATAGTAAGAGGCTCTTCACACTTTGACACCAAATGAAACTAGAACGTATACTGAAAACTGCTTAAAAAGTTCTGATTGCCATCAAGACGCACTGCAGAGGAAGTAGGGCTCATCAGTTGGCACAGTCACAGGAGTTTTTCTTAGGAAGGCACTTGACATGGGGGGTCGTGGCGTTTTCCCCCCATGCAGCGACAGCAATGCACTAAGGTCCTTGTTTGTGCACACTGAGGAGAGGGACACCGTCAGCTAAGTGCAAGTTCCGTGATAAATCCACTTTCACCAGACTGGAGAGAGAGGGTGGGGGGAAACAAAAAAATATGAAGGCGTATCACAACTCCACCACAGTCCACAGCTTCAAATACAGTATCTTAAGTGGGTGGGTCTGCGCCTCTTGGATCACACTTGACCTTTTTTTTTTTTTTTTTGGGGGGCACAAATTGTGGCAATCGGATTGGATTTGAGTAACCTGTGCAAGGCTTGAGTGGTGATTGATGCGTTTAGAGCGATTTGAAGCACTTTCAGGTCTCTTAAAAGTAACCAATCCCAGCTTTTGCCTCCCTCCCACCAACCAACCAACCAACCAACCACCACCACCACCACTGTCCAAGACAGATGGACCCAGCCCAGAAGATGCAACAGTACAACTCAACAAATAAAAACCACAACAAAAAACAAACAAACAGAAGAAATAACCAGAAAACAGGTGTCTCTTAGGTTTCACAATAAGACATTCCCATTGAGGCACATTTCCAGAGAAGTGTCATATACAAAGCTATAAAAAATCCCAAAACATTCAAGTACGTTGTCATGTAAACACTTTTCCAGACTATAATACATAATCGATTGTTGTCGTCGTCGATTTGTGTGTGTGTGTGTGTGTTGTGTGTGTGTGTGTGTGTGTGTGTGTGTGTGTGTGTGTGCAACAATAAGACAACAGTGTGAGCAGAGAGAATAGTTAAGCCTGCAGTACAAGTTATAAGCTCAAATTCAGCCCGGATGCACTGTTTCTGTATGGTGTTTGTTTGTTTGTTTAGAGCAGGACACATGAACAGCACTGGTCTCCACCACTGGGAACAGTTGAATAGTTCATCTGTCTGACTATTTCTGCAAACAGTTCGTCGACTGATCCTTTATTTTTGGCTGAAGTTTCCATAAACGGGCAGTTCCAGTCCTGGGCCAGCGCCTTGCCTTCCCCGGAAGACACCTCTCTCTCCCCCTCCAGGTCCACCTTGTTCCCCACCAGGATCATCGGCACCCTCTCGTATCTCTTCACCCGGATGATCTGGTCTCTCATCGGCTTGATGTCCTGGAAGCTCTGCTGGTTCACCAGGCTGTAGACCAAAATAAAACCCTGCCCGTTCTTGATGTACAGATCTCTCATGGAGGCGAACTGCTCGGTCCCCGCCGTGTCCAGGATCTCCAGCACCGACGGGGACGAGTCCACCTCGATCTCCTTCCTGTAGAAATCCTCTATCGTGGGGTCGTACTTCTCGATGAAGGAGCCCGTCACGAACTGGACCGTCAGCGCGGATTTGCCGACTCCGCCCGACCCCAAAACAACCACTTTGTACTCCCTCATGGCTGTGGGGTTGGGGTGGTGGTGGTGTTAGTGGGTGGTGGTGGTGGTGGGGGGAGAGAAGGAGAAAAAAAAAGAAAAGAGAAAAAAAAGGCAGACACCTCCTTTTTTTCCCCCCCTTCTTTTCCGCGACGAAAGAGCCTCCTGCTCTCTCTCTCCCACCCGCTGACCAGCCCCGATGTTTTCAACCCGAGCAGGCTGGGAAGGCTGCCCTCTCGCTCGGATAGTACTCGACTCCCAAGCCGGCGAATCCTCCAAGCCTGCTGTGTGACGGCCGCGGGGGAGAGATCCGAGGAGAACGACCGCTCCTGGACATTAGCGTGGCGGATTAAAGCGCATTTTGATCGCACTGTATTGTGCAACGGTGCTGGGAAGCGTGATCGTTTCTCTGCTCTTGCATGGCGTTTCCTGCCCACATCCTCGGCAGCGTCAAAAGCCGAGGCTCAGTTCCGTTTTCTTAAAGGAGCCGTCACACCGAAACCTCGCTCACACACCAGCGCCGATCAGATGACCAGACAGATACTGCGGGCGTCTGTGACCCAGTCTACACTGACCCCTCTGCCCTCATGCGCACACTCTTCTTCTCATTGCCCCGAAACTAGAGGCTCTCCAGCCGCCCACTGTCCCTGTGATTGTGATTATGATTATACATGAGCGTGTATGTTAATGAGGTCATTCATTAGCTCATTATTCAATTTACACACTTATCTCCACGGTCCAGTGGAGGCAGGACTCACATCCTCTACTTGAGTCAAAGAGAATAAATGGGACTTAAAAGTTGCCCTCCACTCATCCTCCTACAGTCGGATGTTTGAACTGCATTGTGCAGAGAATGATGATCCGTGCCATCACAAATAGTTTGGAAGCCAAACCTAATCCTCCAATTTGCAATTTATACAAGAAAGTGTAAACTGTCAGTGCACATACACTAATGAGGCAGGTTCCTTTATTAAGGGTGTAATGTGGAAATTGTAAGCTACTTAGACACACATTATTATTGTATATATGTATTAATGCTTGTCTGGAGGGGTTCTTTTAGTAAAAGTATGAATTATCAACAAAATATACTCTAAGTAATACAAGTACTCCATTAGAGGAGCATTGCCACTAGGCTAATCCAGGCCTATAGCCTGGATTGCTATTGCATTATTGTGTATGTAACATTGTACTGTTGTAGTTGGAGGAGGGGTAATTAATTTAGTAACTTTATTTTGCAGGTCCTGTAGCTTTGTAGCTATGTAATTTGGTTACCATTATGAGGAAAATAGGCTCACAGTTCAGTTGGCTCTAGTGTAACCTAAATGGTCCTGGTCATAAATGATAGTTTTAGCCCACAGTTAGCCAGGTATTGAGTATTTGAGGTACTTTACTTCTACTCCACTACATTTGTCTGACAGTTTTAGTTACTAGTTACTTTTCAGATTACAATAATGTATCTATCTGATAAACTGAAGGATGAAGTTTTTCATTATCGTACTAAAACCAAATAAACTAAAACCCTCTTGGATTAGCTGGGAAATGTATTGTCAACTTAACTTTCTACTTCTGATCTGAATACTTCCTCCACCACTGTCAAAATGTTATATGTTCATACAGTACTATAGGAGGCATGTTGTGAGTTCATATGGGCGTCGTCTAACTTTAAATAATCAGTTCTGACCAAGATAATGCACAAAATCTTGTGAAAATGGAGCACAATCAATTTAACCTTGCACACCTGTCATACATCAGTCTCTGATGATAACTGTTCAACACATGCAGTACACACACACACACACACAGAGAGGCAGTGACCACAGACATGTTGCATGAGCAAATCAAATATTGTTTTATTCAGATTTTTTTCATCCATACAGCAAGAGTCAATTATGGCAACAATAAAATGTGCATAAACAAATCTGAAGACAGAATAGTACATTATTGTGTGGCAACTGTTAGCAAATACGTAGGTGGTTGCACTTACAAGTAAAAAGCAGTCAAAGCGTACATGTGCCCTCAGCAGGGAAGATAAACCTTGGTTGCAGCCAGGTGACTGAACAACTGGTTTGAAGAAAATGGTACTTTGGTTCTGTAGCGACTATACAGCAGCCTCGAGTCAGAAACATGTTGACCGGTGACTGTTACATTCATTTCAAAGACTAATTTGCCAAATACGCATTTGGTGTGGTGAGCCTTCACCTGCTGAGTGCACAGCTATGATAGCAGGAACAACTTCCTGTGAGTCAGTGTCAACTGTAATTATATGGCTATGAGAAAGTATCTGGGGTGGATGAGTGCTTATATTTTATCATTCTTTAAATAACATGTTTGCTTGGAAAATATTTTTTATCACACAAGAGTAAGATGACTTGTTTTTTGAAGTATTATTTCTCCCCACTGTGGATGTTATCTACTGTATGTATAATTTGAAAAAACAAACAAACATATTATTGTGTATTCTGTAATCTGAATGTGTTACCTTTCTTTACATAACTACGCAGATTCTTTTGTTTACATGTTTGTACTTGTACATGCAGTCAAATCAAACTATAATAGAATACAATTTTTGAGAGGTTTATGTATCAACTGTACCATGGGAGCAGCAATACTGCATGACCAAGTCTAACAAATGACATATGGACATTATTGGATGTGTCATCCTACAGGAGGGGTGGAGTTAGCATGACATGGGGATTTTATTCCCCTAGAACATTCCCTGGCAATACTAGCCACTGATAAAATAAGACAAAAAGCGCATAGCTTTCTCTGAATGCATTGGCCAAGAAACTAGTGCCCTTCTTTGCAAGCAATTTTTTTAGCTGGTCTTCTAATTTAAGAATTTAAATTAATCTAGCAAAATTCCTTATAATTATAGATCTTTTTTTATTCAAAATAATATCTCAATATTATACACATTTTTTCTCTGTTCATTTGACTATATACAGAAGTGCAAAAAGTCAACCTTCGTCCCTTAGGTTAGAACTCATCATCTGCAGAATTACTGACTTCTCCGACCCGGAGAAGTCTTTGCTTTCTCACTCCTAATCTCACTATCCACCAAACATCCAAACACCCGTCAATCTCACTGCTCGTTTTGGCCTGACATTCAGGGCAAACTTAAGAAATATTCAAACAAAAGTACATATCTTTTTGAAATGGATACAGTAGAAAATAATTTTTACTCTAAAACATGGACATGGATATTTCAACACAATATATTTTCAAACATGATCTTGACATGTTACAAGGACAATTTAAGTTGGTTAAAACATTAGTTGTTTTTTTTCTCTATTCAGAGACGCTGCAGATGGCAGCAAATTAATTGATCTCATTCCTTGTATCAAAAAAGTCTTTCATCAACAAAATTAACTGATAATGTAACATCAACTGAAAAAGACATCCAGCTATATGAATGAAGTGAATATTTAAAACTGACTCAACACATTATCATTTATATGGTTTGAAAAAGTTATGAATGTCATACTACCTCAAAATCTACAACGGCTATATCAATGTTGTCAAGTAATATATAGTAAGGCAAAAAAAAAAGAAAAATCTACAACTACATACCTCAAATAGATTCAAATCCTTAAGTAGTACATAACACATAAGTTCAATGAAATTTAAGAGTAATTGTTACTTTTACATAGAGAGAAAGAAAAAAAAGAGATCATAAGCGGCATGTGAGACAACTATAAAACATCATTGGTGTTCTTTACCTGCATGGTGATTGAAAGTACATTTGATTGGGCTGAGACCCAGTAATTGTAATCTAAGGCTTTGTTAGGTACATTACAATCGGTAAAGACACACTACACACCTCTGTGAAAACAGAAAAGGGAAGTGATCATAAAACGGACAGATGACTGAAAGATGTTTCTTTAATTGTTTAAGCCTCTTCAGAGATGCTTCTGTAACCCTCTGTGAATACGATTGAGAGACAAACTGTGCTTTGGTTTCTGTTGTCAGATCTACAAATGAATGAGAACCTTCATGTTTTGCTTGGAAACACTAACACAGTACGTGTTGTATTTCCTCGAAAGTGAAAGTTCAGTTTAAGATGGGTTGTAAAATTAAAACAGGGTGATCAGACAAACAATCATTCAAGTGCACATGTGGCTTAAATGACCTAATAGACCTTCAGGGTCTGTTGTTTTTAAATTACCATCAACACATGGCTCAACAGTGCTTCTTGGAGACACAGTTTTAAAGTCGCTCCTCTTTAGAAGAGGGAGAACAATGTAACACATTGTCAATTGAAGCTACACCCTCTACTTCACCAGGCTTTAATGGACTTGAGCAACAACTTAATCCCAACAAACAAAAACAACACTAGTCTATGAAAAGAGGTTTGACAAACTTTAGAAAAACCCTCCATTTTTGATTTTAAAAGAAAAACAAAAATAAAAAAAAAAGAAATTGGCAAAAACCCCACTTCTAAATCTGATTAATTAGAGAAATGAAAACAAAAAAAAAGTAAAAAATAAACACTCACAATGGAGATTATTAAAACAAAACAATACAAAAAGAGCCATACAAAACTTTTACCTTCGGTAAACAAATAACACTGCTGAGATAACACTCTGGTTTTAGCTGTATGGCCTTGATGGCACATGACAAGGTGAGAAAAGCTAGCCTGGCTGTGCTTTCAAGGTACACAGGTATGTTGGTTTACCCAGAACATTCATATGTCCAAGACCCTCATTTCAACATCTAGTTTCACTAGTAGCCGTAAAAACACAATACTGTACATGCCTAATTATTTTGGCGAATAAAATTCCTGTTAAAATCATTGTGCCTTTCAGATTTCAATTCAAATTCAAGGTGCATGTTTGCATTTCACTTGTAAACTATGAAATATGGCTATCAATTAAAAAAAATAAAAATAAAGCAGAACAAATAAAAAAGGAAAGAAAAATCTTGGTCTACTAATGTACCAGCACTGGATGTTGCTTTATGCAACCACGCTCTTGATCCTCTGTGCGTGCAGTAATGATAATAATTAGAACAAATTGAGCGCTATGATTTTGTCAGACACAGAGGTGTAATGTGAACGTTTCCCGTAGAGGGAGAGACACACTGACCCTGGCACCAAGATGTCCTCTTGTCTCGGCTGGACGTTGAATTTGACAACAAATTCTTCTTGACATTGATATGTGGGAAGATGGCACAGATCATGTGTTGCACCCTTGATGTTTACATGTGTGATGAGACCATCGTTGTGGACCGGCTGAGAGATGGCAGACCCTCCTTGTCCCATTGCTTGACATTCTGAAGGTTATGTACATAAAGGCTGAACTCTTTTGGCTTGGACGGTGCCAGCACACATTCATTTGATCTGTAAGACATGACGGATTTCACTTGAAGAAAACTGCATTAAAAGTCTGTAAGACAGCGGAAAGGGACAGAGAGAAAATGTACAAGTTGTTCTCTATGTGCACACACAAAATCAATCTTTAACCAGAGCTAAAATGATTCAACAAAGTAAACAAACTTTGTTATGAATAGAGAGAATATGAGGATTGAAATAGGAACTCACTGTTCTTGAGAGGAACTACATTTGAGTCAAGTACTTGTGACTACTCAGATGATCTGCAGATATTATTGGAATCTGGGGGTAGAAAACAGACAGAGATCAAATGAAGCCTCCCAAACCGAAAAAACTCACAAGCAGACGTTGGCCGACAACACAGATCACACATATCAACGCATTTTAACCACATCCTCTCACGCTAAGATGAGTTCATTACTGGAAAAGGGTGGAGATGACAAGATAGAAAAAGCAATTTGGCTACAGTTGAGGCAGAATTCATTCAGACGTGACATGTCAATAAGAATTAAAAGATGCTTCTGGATAGCAGGGAGGGGAAGAGGAGGATTGAAGGGAAGGGAGAGATGGGGGGGGGGGGGGGGGGGGGGGGGGGGCGCAAAGGGAAACTGTCAGTGAGGTGGCTCCCCCATGCAAATCTAAGTCCTCCATGTTGTTGACCTGCACACATCGATAAAATGCACAAAACTGGTCCTGGGTCAAGTAACATGATGTTTCATCCTACACTTTCAAAAGTTTTTCCACTGGTTTTATGAAATTGTGCAATGTAGCTAACTGCTTACCAAATGCCTTCAACAGAACTGAAATCAAAACTTGTATGACTTTAATAATGAATATGTCTTTTAAACAAGAGGAACATGGTAAAGCTTTGCTTTATGTGCTTGAAGCAGCAGCGAAAAAGAAAAGGGCACAGATAGCGACTTTTGCACAAGCTGTGCGAATTGCTCTAAAAACTGTGAAAAAAACTACCTCATACATACCAATTGCATGTATTCGTTGGTAGTCAACTTTGAAAAGGAAGAGTCCTCAAAATGGGAAAGGACAAAAATCGAGGTTACAAACATAGGCAATACAGTAGGCTTTTCCAGAAAGACATAGATCATCTAAGAAATGTGTAAATATTGTGGATATAGTAAAAATGGAAATAAATATCTTAAAACTTGTCACAGTATAATATGTGTACACATGTTGGACTCTAGTGTAGGCCAACAAGAGGGAGTACCGCCTTTTACCCAACCCCACCCCTAGCTCTAAGACACAAGCGTCCCCAGATCGTCCAGGTGCATTGAAAGACAGAGATGAGAGAGAGAGAGAGAGAGAGAGAGAGAGAGAGAGAGAGAGAGCGAGAGAGAGATAGATAGATAGACAGATGGAGAGAGAGACATAGATAGAGAGGGAGCGAGAGGGAAAGAGAGAGACCGAGGCGGTGGAGGTGCAAACCTGATTGGTGGAGGCAGTTGCGAAGGGAACGCTTGTGGCAGATGTGGTGGCTGCAGACACAGTGGCTGGACTACCACCGTGCATCATGGGAACTTTTTTGGAGGGAAAATCATGTAAGCAAAAATACACAGAGGAGCAGTGTAGCCACATACACACCAGGCAAATGAGGGAAGGAGGGGGAGAGAGAGGAAGTCACAGAGGGATTCGATTTAACTAGTTCCCTTTCTTCCCTCTGCCGACACTGATCACTCTTGTGATTTGAAAACTTGATGTGATACAGTGCAGCTGTAGCAGCGGCAGTGGCTTACTTCCATGTTTGTGTGTGTTATTAGTAATAGAATGATCAACATTGTACTTTCCAGATGAGAGCTAACGTTAAAAACATTCTATAATAAAATAACATTAATAAATGTGCCGTCACATGAGTCATTAAGGCAGAGGAGATAAGGGGGAGGTTATAATTGAACTCCCTCAGGTTTTTAATGTTTTTAAAAGGGGTTTCAATAGATGTCAGGTTAGACCAGCCAAAAGCCAAGTTTAGAAGGAGCATGAGAATGAGAGCGGTCAAGCAATATACAGTAGGTGTACACAAAGAAATGAACAGAGTAAAGGGCAGTTAAATTGATATTATATAACATATATATATATATAACAGGTAATAAACAACAATTAAATTTTACAATATTTGTCTTTGCTTATGTGGACTCTTGCTTATGCGTCAAATCACAATAGGTATCGCAACCAAAACAGTGACTCTCAAGTCACCAAAATCTCTCTGTATAAAAATCACAAAGTCCCTAAAAATACAGCAAAGTAAATTTCACTGGAAGGTTTGATTTTGATGACGTGCGAGTCACGAGACATGAGCTTACAGATAACTGAAGAAGGAAAGCTGGAACCTACCAATGCTGGCTGCAGGTGTCATGCACAATATTGAGCCTGCCCATCATGCAGTGCAACAGGAAGTGGATTGGATAGGGAAGAGAAATCAAAACAGCCCATCACAAGGTTCGTTAGAGTGAGGGGAGAGATAAGGTGGGAAAAAAAGGTTAATATCTCTTGGACACAGTCATCAGTGATTGGAAAAAGGCGAAGTGGTGAACTCATCATAAGAAATCTGTTAATCAAATGAGACTGTGAATCTAAACTTTTGTCTGAAGCGCAATGCATATGAATGTGTAATACACCAAGAGCGATAGTGCGGTTATGATTGTAACTATCAAGTATTAAACATTATATACACACTCTAGACAGAAGTGAAGGAGAACAGCAGATAGTGTACAGAAGCCAGACTGCTGTTTGTTGTACCAACCCATCCAGCCCCGTTCATCCCAGCCCAAGCCGAAACCCTAGCAATGCTATGTCATCAAAATATGAGTGATCACACCATGGATACTAATCTGTCACTATGTGGAGCTATATTAAGGCAATTAGTAGGCAGAAAGACACTCTAACCCAACTAGTGGCCATGCAATGCCATACAAAGCATTATGCACAAATCTGTTCAAGCGTTTTTAGATTTTCAAATGCACATTGAGATAAAAATGTTTAACCCTCACTGGCGTAGACTAAATCAATGAGAGCGTTTATGATTGAACTCTTTGTAAGTTCCTCATAACTAACTGAAGTTGATAAACAGTCCACAACCAAACTGCTCTGTACTGCAATCTTTCACTTTGCCCAACCCCAGCCAAGCAGGAGCAATGTTAGACTGATCCAGGCATCCTTTGGATGGTCAGAGCACTAGTGGTGCTTGTTTCGGGAGCCATTACCTGATGGGAGGAAAGCAGCCTGCTGCTGAAACTGCATGCTGGCCAGGGCCTGTTGGTACTGGAGCATGCCGGTGTTAAACATGGCAGAGGCCCCGTTGGCCTTCTCCAGGGCTGCCCGCTTGGGCAGGGGAGCCATGACACTAGGGCCGATGCCCTGCCCAGCCAGACGGAGGGAGGACAGTGAGAAAAAACAACAAAAAGAGATAGAAAGAGAGAAAGGTGCGTGGAAAAAAGAGAGAGAGAGAGGGTGTGTTGGAAAGAGGCAAAAACGGGAAAGAAAACAAAAAAGGTACATACGTTAGAGGACATCATATAAACAGCATCACAACATCCTTGTGTGTACAACAACAACAATATCATCATATCATCAGTAGCAAGCAAGCAGCAGTCTGACACAAGTACTACACAAGCAGGAGCATGGTGCCTACTGGAGCTACTGGCTAACAAGCATTCATATACTCATTATTTTATCAGGAAGCTTACTTGGATTATTTACTTTGTACTCGTAGGGCTGACTAAATGCAACATAAGCAAGCATTAACTATTAAAACAATAAGGCTGCTAACAAGAGGTGGAACAGGTAGGAAGCACAGAGAAAGGGAGGCTGCACTGCTAGCTCCATGATAAACTGTGTAAGCCATGTTTAAATGATGGTTCACTCTCAGACAAATGTCATGAATGGTCTCAGGCCAAGGGACATGAGTCAGATAAAAAGTATTTTTTCCAGTGCCAACATTTACACCATAAAACGCTGTGTGTGTGGGATTCTATCCTGGCTTGAGGTCACCCTTGAGGTCTGAACATCTGTGACAAGATTTGATGATGGAGTGAACTATCATTTGAACTGTAATCATCTGTTATGGTGGGATCACTCCTGTATGGTTTTAAAGATTGTTCCTCTTAGCCCCACCCTTATCCATCTGACATGCACTAGTAACACAGACATGCACACATTTGATTGAGCTGCTCCACAACACTGACCACTGACTTGGACGTAAGACTGAAGCCATGCCACTATTATAGAAGCTCTACTTCTCTTGCCCTCACTGACTTTTGTTAAATAGGCTATAGGTGATGAATTGATTGTGGCTCCATATCACAAATTCCACATTTGAATTCGTGTTTGAGGTGACTTCTACATGAGGAGAGTTGTTTGGTGTTGGATGCAAAACCGGAAAGCCACAATCATTTTATCACAGGCAATAATGACAACAACAGGAGGAAAAAACAGACATTGCACTGAGACAACGACAACAAAAATAGCTAGGTATCTTTGGTTAAAACACTGCTCTACAACAAAGCCACATGCCAAGCTAAAAGGTGAAAGGTCATAGTACCAGGTCAAAGGTTGCGTCGAGGGGTCGCTTCAGTGATTTGACAGCCGACTGAGTCTTAATTAGCAGGCAGCGAGCACATGATGGCAATGGGCCAATGGGGTTCAAGCGCATTAACATAAACCAGCAAGCAGAGGTGCATCATGGGGGCAGCAGTGCAGTTTGGGTATAGGTGAGAAAAAACAAAAACAAATAAAAAAACAAATCATTGGAATGCAATATACAAGGGGATAACAGGACTAAGGCATGCACAGTGTGGACACTAGCTCTACTGCTCAACAGTTAAATGATCATCAATAATCAATGATAACTACCAATCTACATTAGTTATTGTCACACAAAGATGGATGAATATAGCGATGAGAATATTATTCAATCATTACTTTAAAGTGGGTTTCGGTAATCGTATCGGACATGGAAGCACAATTCACAAGTTTCTGTTTCACTGTGCACAACATAGTCAGTGTCACATTACAATGATTCACCCCATAGCACTGGCTATGTCAATAAGAGCATGTAAAGAACACTGTGATCAACAGACAAGTGTGGCTGTACTATTATTCACAGGTGCTGTTACTGTGAGACGGGACTGAAAGCACAATGAATCCCTTTTTAATAATGTCAAGAGGAAGAGAAGTAATAGATAGGAAGCACAGAAACAATGGTGTCACAAATAAGACCAGGTCATTAGAGAGAGAGAGAGAGAGAGAGAGAGAGAGAGAGAGAGAGAGAGAGAGAGAGAGAGAGGAACGGACTCTCTGCCTGTGGTCTGGGATGAGATGAACAAGGAACAAGACAATCTTTTTTTTTTTAAAGATTGACAGGGAAAAAAAATCTAATTGCACAAAGTAATGTACCGTTGTCTGATCCTTCTTCATTTCATCCAGTTCACAGCATTTTATTTACCCAAACCAACTTGCAGACCTTTAATTTGACCTAGCAAAAGCAGAACTGAACATAATACCAACCAGGAAGGTGAGACACTTTCAAACATGAATGAGAGTATGAGCCACAGAACATACTGTATTTCCTACTGGCTAACTGAATTTATAGTAGCCCTGAAATGTAAGAACTTCCTCAAAATTGCTCCTTAGCCTGTTGTGTGGGTGTGAATGAGTGTGACCACGCTTGTACAGACTGCTCACCATGGCCGCGGCGGCTGTGGCCTGGTTCACCTGGTGCTGGGCAGCCTTAATTTTGGCCTGCAGATGGGCCGGCGGATGGAAGTACTTGCACTTTTCTCGGGAGCACCGACCCTTGATGTAGTCCATGCACACGGTGACGGTGTTGTCGTTGGTGTCGATCATGGTGCTGTCTGCGGGGTGGGCAAAGCGGCAGTCGTTCTCCCCCCGAGAGCAGTTGCCTCTCTGATATTCCCGACACACCTTGAAACAAGATGAGAGGAAGTGACATGAAAAGACTTGGAGTTACTTCATAATTCAGCACAGCACTAGAATATAGTAGTTCTACGTGGAACATGTCCTGCTTTGTGTCTTTATGCAGAATATATCAAGCATGACTCATCAAGCTTTTACTTATTATAGAGGGTGTATATTACAAACATCTATTAAACTTAAACATGTATGAGACCTGCAGTCCAAAACGTAGATTGAAATGCACTGCAAGATAATATTCCTCTTGCTGTGTGGTGTACTTCCTGTTTAAATAGAACTGTTAGATAAAGAGTTCCTGAATACATATTGCTCTGAGGAAGTTCCAGGCTGTGCTGAAGCTTTTAGTTTAACACAATAAACCTAGAATCTTACGATAAAGCTTTTCTTTATGCTGAACTGTGGTGTGTTTGTTGGGAGTGTGAATCTCAGACGAAGTCTATATGTGAGACACCAGAGGGCAGCACCTTCTTTTAGATTAGAGGGTATCATGAACACATGGGCATTACTTATTTGCTATCGACTATGCTTTTCTGTTCAAAGTGTGTCAGGAGTGTGTGGTTAAACTTAATGTGTGCTCCGTAAGGACAAAAAAGGTAACATTTATACGTCACTTTTTGATTTAAAAGAGGAAACCCCCTCCTACTACATGAACATTGTACTTGATGCACAAAATGGTTTTGTGATGACGTTGCATTTCTGGGCCTATTGTGTGGTTTTGTGATTTTTGTTTTGTAGACAACATCAAAGATACTTTGAGGAAAAGCGATATTAAGATTAAGGTCCCTCAGAATTAGAGAGTAAAGGAATCTTTCTTCTTCAAACCACCAACGGATGAAGGAGCAATAATTTCTCTGCTGACAGCAGTCTCAATAGACCACAATGCAATGCAGCCACAACAAATGTTATGCTTTGAGTTCTCAGTTTGTCTTGACTATAAAGAACGTGTTCCTTTGCTGTTGCTATACTATAACTGGTACTAGGGAAATCATTACTGCTCTTTCCACTCAAATAAACATTCAGCAAGTTCAGGCTAATCTTTGGTGCTTGTCTAATGACGTTTTGTGAAGCGTACTGTACAGAAGCACAAAGTGTGCTGGGATTAGACGAAGAAGATTAAGTGGGAGTGGGTTCATCAAAAAAATAAACAACTCGTAATTACAAAGCAACTCTTCGAATGCACTCCACTTCATAAGCTGATTAAATATTACAGTTTATGAACCTCTGATGGTTTTATTTTCTTTGGATTTGCTTCTACTTAGCATAATGGTACCTGCCATTAATGTTACAATTGAGTTTCAGAAACAGTTTATACAAGACCAATAAAGGGTGCCGTTATTCGTATGCTTGTTAAATCGCTTGTTAACAACACTTGTCTCCTTTACAGGGTCATTTTCATTCTGGGAGGTTTCACAGCCACTAAGAAAGATACACATCATAGAGTACAGTTTATTTGAGTTTTCCTGGAACTCTTTGGGAGGAGTGGGCTGATTCTACGTAACATGATGCATCCATGCCCCAAAACAAAATGTTGAGAAAACCAGGTTCTATTCATCAGTCTGTGTGTTACCTCAAGTCTATCTGTTCTCAGCAGTTTCTGGGCTGCAGCAGCGGCAGCGTTGGGGACTTGGCTGACAGTGGGGCTGGAGGCCATGAGGACAGGGGTGCTGGGCATGATCTCCTGGGGCATCAGGCCTGGTGACACTGGGCTCAGGTAGGGATTAAAGGCCGCGGCTGCAGCTGCTGCTGCGCTGGCGTTGGTGGCCAGGCCTGGCGTCATGGAGAACATGGGCTGGACGAGAGCAAAATAAAAAGCAGAGGGGTGAAATGACTGTGGATAAAATGTACAAATAAACCACAAAGTGTGAGCTTTTCGTATGGTAGAAGACAGGAACTGACGGAAAGACAGATCAAAAGACTGAGAGAGCCACGCAGACAGCGGTGGAGCTGTATATGTGTGAGCTTTTACATGTATGTGGTCTCACCGTTGGCAGTAGCTGTGGTGTGTTCATACGTGTGTGTCCTCTCACCATAGGTGGTAGCTGCGTGCCAGGCATCATGGCATTGGCGAGCTGCATCTGCTGGGCCAGCATGGCCATGTTCTTCTGCTGGATCAGGTTGTTCCTGCCATTGATCTCAAGCTGGGTCTTTAGGTGGGGAGGAGGGTGCAGATACTTGCAGTTCTCCCTGGAACAACGGCCCTGAAGTGACAAAATGGAACAATAAGTCACAATGACACTTTTACTGTGGTTTAGGCTGCATTCATATTAGAAATAAGTTATCCGTACAGTTTATGGAGAAGTATATGTAAACAACAAGGAGGGTAAAGTTTCTCTGGGACTACCTTAATGTTAGCGTGCTAGCATTGTGAACTGAGATGATGAATACAGTCAGCATACTTGCTAAACATCAGCATGTCATTGAGAGCATGTTGCAAGGATGTTAGCATTAAGCTTAAAGCACCATCTCACAGAGCCACTAGCTAGATGTTGCGATCTTATGGTACTTCATCAGTCTGTCATCCCTCAGTGCACTTATTAAAGTAGTATACTGAACATCTACAAATCACAGAATCCCATGTAAATATGCTGTAAAATAAGCAGATTTTTTTTTTTTACAAGCAACATTATTACATCCAAAATGGTGTAAATGCTGGAGTGGATGAATGTGTGTTCTTGAAGAGCGGGCTTATATGCCCTGAAATCATATTATCTTGTTTATGGCTAACACAATGTCACTGACACTCAAACTGACATAGGTCTGGGATGAGTCTAGCACTAATTGTTAACAACTTGCTATTTCTGTCAGTCCCAGCAGGGACAGGGGACATGTCTACGTGTGTGTGTATGTGTGTGTGTGTGTGTGTGTGTGTGTGTGTGTGTGTGTGTGTGTGTGTGTGCTAGCCCCAGGAGCTCATGATGTCCAGCTTAGCTACATGTCCAACTAACGCTATAAATACTGTCCTCATATGATCCATATATATTATATCAGCAGTCACACTTTAAAGTCTTTCAATCATTATCTAAGACAGGGACCCCTTTTTTGCTGCCTGCTCTGAGTATCCAATTATACATTTAGTCTGGAGAAGAAGATGTCTGACACACACACACGCACATTCTCATGAAAGCAAGAATGCATACACATTGGTGCACGCGCGTCGAGGGTCATGTTCGTATAACAGGTGGCAGATACGCACCGCGCCAAACGCACACACAAACACGTCCAGAGTTTAGGAAAGACGTGTATTTACTTTCAGCTCTGTGGCACAGCTGAGCTGACTGTGGCAGCTTGCACTTTCTCTCGCTGACAGAGCTGTCCCCACTGGGATTCATCTCTATACCCTGTCATGACTTCATTCCCCTTTCCCAACTCCTTCACTTTCACTGACACTGGAGCACCAGACAGGTGCGAGGGAAGAGGGGAGGGGGAAAAGGAGTAGAGAGGGGGACACTTAAATGGCAGAAGGGACTTTTTAAGATATTTTGTTTTGTCCACTTTTCTGAAGTTGCTATCTCAAGTTCTCAGTGGATATCCTTTTAAAAATGATTTCAGACTGTGTTCCACAATTCAGGTGCACACAGAATGCATGGAGTGGGATTACAGCAATGTCTCCTCTATTCTGGGTCCCTGTTATCTTTCCTTCTGCAGTAGAACATGGATGAAGAGTTTGTCAGTGAGCTGTGTTCATATATCTATATTCTAGTTTTATATTTTCAAAAATGTTGCACTGAAAGACTATAAAATGTTCATATAGTAAAGCCCAAGGTGACAAACACATGAAGACACTGCGTAATAAACTTTTTTTTTTTCTTCAGAGAATCAAATAAGATAAGGAATTTGTCATAGTTTTTGGTATATCATAAAAAGGACATTTTTAGGGCAGTGTTGACTGATTACAGGAAAATTCAAGAGAAGCATAACTTTCCATAAAGAGGAGAAGTGTGTACATAAGCTAAGCTGGCATTCAGAAGAATTCTAACACTGACAACACTGAGAGGTGTTTGTGCGGAAACTGGGCAAGTGTGTTGTGCATGTGTGTAAGACAAGAGGAGCTGAAAGCAGGTTCTAATAACACTCATCCAGAGAGTGACAATGGCATGCAGCAAGGGCAGGGTGAGAGTGTGTGGAAAGGTGTGTGTTTGTGTTACGTGAGTTTGAGTGCGTGTGTGTGTGTGTGTTGTGTGTGTGTGTGTGTGTGTGTGTGTGTGTGTGTGTGTGCAGAGGGGGGTTGCAAAGGCACGGAGGATCATGTTGCGTTCACCCCATATGACCCTGTCTGTCGACCCCTGGATTCACAACTGTGGCAGTGTACATGTAGGTGTGTGTTAAGGTGGGAGGGTAATGTTTGAGAATGTGGCTTTGACTTTAGCTACCTACATGTGCCATTCTGTCGAATCATGCAAAGAAAAAAAGCCATCAACCAACACTGGCAGCCATTTTGAATTAAAACTTAGGTCCCAGGAGAGGAAACGTCAGGCTGCATGGGTGGAGAGAGAGAGAGAGAGAGAGAGAGAGAGAGAGAGAGAGAGAGTGAGAGTCATAGTGGCTCTATAGCGAGAGCGAGGCTGCGTCAGGGAAATTTTAGAACTTGCAGAAGAAGTGATTAGTGTGGATCATCACACGCAACGAGGAGAAAGAGAGAAATGGAGAAGCAGACAGAGAGGAGGAGGAGGAGGAGGAGGAGGATGAGGTAGACTTCGCCCATTTCACATCATGTGTGTGGCTGTTATTGTGACATCAGCGGCCTTGAGGAGCAGCTAGAGACGGTGTCCACGGCAACAGAGCAGCCAGACACTCCTGCTCTAACAACACAGTGATTCCTGAAATCTTCGCCATCGCTGGTAGATACAGGAACTCAGCAAAGAAAAATACTGCAGATACAACTGACCCTGAAGCCACAACTATTCCAAGAGTGGAGTGCATCCAATCACCGCCCTTCTCTGTACTGTTTCCTGGCCTTTTTTTGTGTGTGTCTGTGCTGCTAATACAACCATCATAAAAAAAAAGCTTATTCTCCCTGCAAATGAACGAGAAAGATATCATCTTTAACATTTCTTATCGCTGACTGGCTCTTTTGTCTCTATTAAGGAATTCAAAACTGGAGCAGAGAATTGCATTATCTCATTATACCAACACAATTTAATGGTAATTATGCAAATAAAAATTGGATGTACTATGGAGGCCCATTAAGGCTTCAAATCACATTTATCTTGGAAAATACCTGATGAGAATGTGATTAGTGAAAAAAACTGATTTGTCACTGCTCTGTGCTTATGCCATAAATTATGAAAACAATGAACCGGACAGCTTCTAAATGATTCATCAACTTGATCCAGTTCAGGAATGTTTTTCCACTTCAGGTTCTCAGTTTTTGGTGTGTTTCAGAGCAGCTGGCTTAAGTGGTACAGCAAGCATATTACACCAAAAATGTCCATATTAGTCTATCGAGCAGCACAATTCCAACATGACAAAATGTGACTAATATGTAGAAGCAAATGCTGACTGATTTAAACTGCAGTACGACAGATTACTAAATAAATAAATTGTTTAAAATCTCACTTTAGATGTGATGTTAATGATGTAGCAAAATTATTACTGTGCTCAGTTTCTTTTATAATGCAGTAAGATATTATGTTGTCATATTGCCAACTCTACACCAAAGTCAGCCTTGTTTTTCTCAACATGCTCCTGCTACACAACATGAACTTTCTTGTGGTGAGATCAGTCTTGCCACACTCCAGGCCAAACAGGGAACAGTAATCCCACTGGCTACCGTGCAGTCTGATTGATGATAAGTTGTAATAACACGTCCCACCCTGATCGCTCTCTCTTCTAACTCTTCGTCTCTCACCCGTCGACACACACCCTGCTTTGTGACTGTGTGGGATTTAAACAAACAATGAACCAATGTGTAAAGAATGCTGGGTGGGGCTGCATCCCATCCTTTTGAGGAGAAGAGATGAAGCATGTAGCAAGATGTATTAACGTGCATGTGTATGTGAGAGAGAAAGAGTGACACAGTGGAAAGGTGAAGAAAAGCAGGCTTGTACTTAAGGGGTCGGGTAGAATAAATCCAGTAAACCAGTGGCTCCCAAACGTTTTTACTTGGTAACCCCTCAATACTGTTGGTTTATAAAGCACTAAATGGAAAAAAAAAAAAAAAAAAAACTTTACTGATATTCTCAGGAATTGAAAAACTTGCATAACCTAATGTTAATCTTTTTTTTAAATCTACTTTCCTTTCTCATCTGTGATGCTCCGGTGTTGTGGTGTGATGTTATGGTGTGAGACTCAGTGGGTTCTGGTGTGACGCTTCACTGTTCTCTGCACTGCGTTCCAGTGACTTCTGTCTAAACATACACAGAGATGAAAGCCCTTTCTCCTCACACACGCTGTGAATGAAGCTTTGTTTTGCTGGAGAGCAGCGGAGACTCAAAGGGCCGGGCCCAGTGGTTGGTCTCTTTGTCTACTGTGCACTCAAATATGGCATGAAATATAAAACATATCAGCTCTGTCAATATACGGACTATGAGCTGCTCATCTTACATGACATGCAAACTGGAATTTCCTGACAGCCAGTAAAGTAGCATGCAAATTACTGTCAATATAGCAGACCAAAAATGGAGGATATTCAGACGTGGTGGTATGGTTTTATCTTGCTACCAAAAAAGCAATCAGCAGTTCACAATCAATAGTACCCTTTTATAGTAAAGTACAATTGATTTTCTTTTTGTTTTTAGCCACCTAATCCAGCATAAAATTAGCAGTAAAGTTTTTGAGGTGCATGAAGAAGACACAAGTGATCTAAACAGCGTTATTTCTGGCTGTGGTTTGCAATCTGATTTCAGACCGTGAACACACATTTGTACCCTTGTGGTTACGTCTGTATCTCCCTGCTGGGACTCAATGTACACGGTGATCCATGGTGAACAGCTTAGTGGTCAGGGAGCTGATGTGACCAGCAGAGCTTATGGAGATATGGAGGAGGGAGGGAGTGTTAATCTATGATAATAGTTACAATATGCCCCTGGTGACGCATTACAACCCTCACCAAACAACGACAGAGAGAAAAGGATTATAGGCTGGAATAGAGCTACAACACAGACCACACAGAGAGCAGTAAGGTTAGCCAGATACATACAACGTGTTCGTGTGGACGGAAAATGTGAGTGGAAGTCTTACAAAGTAATTTAAAGACATA